AATTGCCAATATTTATGCTTTGCCAATATTGCCAATCAAAAAGCAAAAATACATTAAATGAAAAATTTAAGAATATGGCATTGTTTGTGACAGGAGCAATATGGATGCGATATAGCTTTGCAATCAAACCGGTTAATTATAACTTAGCTAGCGTCAACTTCTTTCTCTGCACTGTCGGATTGTATCAGTTATCCAGGAAATTCAGATATGAGGTTTGTCTATTCCACTTTTTTTTTGTTTTGAAAAACGATTATTTTGCACGAATACATGCAAGAATTCGACGTTAATTTATCAACTAAAAGAAACTTGTTAAAAAAAATGCTTTGAAAATAGGTGAGGAGGATAGGATTTCTCAGACCGACATGCTATTCACCCCTTGAGAATTGCATTTCTTCGAATTCAAAATAATGCTGGCAAGTGCTGATAACTACACAAATATTTTTGTTTTCGTCGCTGACCAGCAACTGACCTTTTACTTGATTTGGCTGCATGACTGCTCCTAGCGGGCACCGAATGCTACGCTCACTTGTTAGTTCTGAAATGCCTCCTCGTTATTAATCGAATGGTTCTTTCTGTGAGAATTCCGTCTGGGAGAGGGCTGAAGAATATTAATTAATTCCTTTGGCTGATTTTTCACACAGGAAACCTGTTGTGATTTTCACGTGAGTTCTTAACTGGAATTCCGATCCTAATTTTTTTGAGTTCTGATTTTGGTTTTTTGTTTTTGCGAAAAATTGTTAATTGATTTCTCGAATTCTGATCTTTTATTGTGCCGAATGAGTTATGACTTTTCATTGGCGATGAATTAAAATTACCTGCAATGGGTGGTTGCGTGGATGCTCGGCTATGTTGATTATCACTTGACTCATGCTTTTGAGTTTCAAATTTTGTTTATAAGAGGGCTGTAAATATTTACAGATGTTTTGTTGTGTTGTTCAAATTGCTTCCATTAAATTCTTTCCCATTAATTTTTAAAGAGAGCAAAAACCACGTAATTTTTTGATTTTTTTCAGTCAGCGAAAAAACGGCTAGCCGCAGCAAACGTACAGCGGGAGGTGGCTGGCGAGACGTAATAACATGCAATAACGGTAGTACTCTCTAGCGGCTTCAGCGTGGCGATGACAATACTCGGCTCTTGGTTCACTGCTCGAATGTTTTCTTCGGTGCATACATCGAATTTTTCGTTAAACTTTCAGTTTTCTGAGCTGGAATTCCTTAGAGAAGTCCGAAATTCCAGTCGGAAGGTGCTCCCAGTCGCGCAGATATACATCTAAATAGCACACTTTGCGCTGAGAAAACGATATTTCTTTTTTTTCGAATTATTGTCTACCAGTAATCTCTGTCTTAACTTTTGTGCTTCAACATAACAAATTGCAGTTCATTTTTGGTTTTCCTGCAGCGCATTTCTGCCTCATTTTCACACTTCCTGTAATGATTTTGCACTCTTCAGTCGTAAAATAAAATAAGGGGCTGCACATGCCATCACAATGGTTAACGTTGAGCCGGATTTAGTTAACTTTCCAAGCGTTCAATCCGATAATGGTTTGTACAGTACGCTTGAGGTAGAGTGCGGTACGCCAGAGTTATCTCGCATTTCACTTCTTTTTTTTGTTTCTCTTATTCTCTATAATGTCGCGTTGTATTATGAGTCTGTTTAACTCTTTTCTGTACTATTTTCTTTGTAAGTAATATACAAAGAATACCACGATTGCCCAAAAATTCGGTCTCATGCTAGTGGTGTTATTGAAACGCTTCTTATATACCGGGAGTAATTATGCGAAGCCTTCGATCCTGAGCTGCATACTTTCAGTTAAAACAAAATTATTGTTCGATGTACATGCGCAATCTTTTCGGAAGTTGCTCGAATAGTCGTTTACTTTCTCATCGATTTTGCTGTACCTGTAGATAACGAGAAAATCATGGTTCATATATGTTTGAATCCCTCAAGAGCATGTTTTTCTCCCAGTATTACTATGTTACACTTAGTAACTAGTTTGTAATCTATGACCATAAAATGTTGCTGTTTGATATGCATTTCGTTGGACCGGAAGAGAGGGTGCTGAAACAAACTGCATAGAACAGTAGCCTGTTGGTGACGGCAATAAAATTTAAATAAACTATGATAAGGGTCCCATTTGTATCACAGTTGAAGTGACTTGTATGTCGGTGGAACACATCTGTGAGCACTGAAACGCCAGTGGTAGTCTTTTCCGGTCGACAAATTGTCACTCTGCACACTTTTTTTGTGCTCAACCATGAGCTATAATTTTTTCCTTTGTTTTTATATTTTTAGAAATGTTACAGCATATGTGTGTAGGACTCGTGTCAGTTAGTAACTTAAATAGTTTAGCGTAATAACGAGATATTCTGCATAATGTGCGTCATTTAGAAACTCCCATATTCAGTGATTTTTCCTATATTCCACCTTCTTTCATTCCTGATGATGTTCGCTCATGTTGGAACAATGCCTACTTTGTCAACTTTGTGTTTATTTGTTTGTCGAATTAAGTTTAAGCAAAATAAAATTCTATCGAAACAGCAATTATTACAAGGCAATTTGGAAAGGCATTAAAAATATCAGGAATACCAAGACTGTTCGGGTTATCAGTGCGGGTATCCCCTGTTAGTGATGTTACTATAATGTTCCTATACACCGAGCGCAGCTACGCCACGTTAAAAATGAATTTCATAAAAACATTTGACCCCATATAGCGTTATTTTTGGTCAAAGCAACTAAGAAAACTGCCAGCTGTATAGTGGCAGAACCACACTATGAGTTCCAACTGATCAAAACATCAAAATGAGTATAGATTCACTTTTTTTTTGATACCAGCATACTGCAAGAAAAAAAAAGGAATCTACATGACCTATGGGCAATGCAAAACTCAAGTTTGATGCATCGCATTTTACCCTCTTTATAAAGGCCTTCGGAAGTGCAATCAGTTCTATTACTAAAGTAGTGAAATTATGCTCGCGCTTCGTGATGGTACTCATTGGCCATAATGCAATCGAGTTAAACGTTTATTTTGCATTAGCAAAGCTGATAAAAGGAAAATTTTCGAAAATAAATGATTAACCT